TACATTACCATCCATGTCTGTCTTCTTCTTGAAGATCTATTTGCAACCTACCGTCTTTCGACCAGGTGCTTGATTAACCAAGGTCCACACTTGGTTACCATACATGGATTGGATCTCGTTATCCATAGCCTCTTTCCATTTGGTAGCCTTAGGTCCTACCGTCGCTTCCTTATAGTTAGTTGGCTCATCTAAATTTACTAGTGTTTCATCATTGATAAACATATCCCCATCTGTCGTTATATGGTAACCATAGAACGAAGATGGTGCACTAACCGTACTGGATCAACGAAGAGGTAATGAAGTGTCAATTGGTTCAATAGGTTCAGCCTCAAGTTGAGTGCTAGTGTCATGGAAGGTTCCTTCATTGGATGAATCTTGAATTTCTTCAAGATCAATCGTACTCCTCCTGCCCTATTTGGAAATGAGCTCTCTCTCACGAAAGACTCCCCTTCGAGCTACAAAGACCACGTTGTCACTAGGTCTGTAGAACAAGTATCCAAAAGACCTTTGTGGGTAACCAATGAAAATACATCTTTTGGCTCTGCGTTCTAGTTTATCTTGGGTCTCGTGCCTAACGAGAACCTCAAAACCCCATAACATGATATGTACGAGCGAGGGGGTTTCTCTATCCACATTTCATGAGGTGTTTTGGCAACCTTCCTGGTGGGAACAAGATTTAGAATATGTGTTGATGTTTCTAAAGCATAACCCCATAATGATATTGGGAGTGTAGCTTGACTCATCATGGAACGAACCATGTCTAGTAAGTTCTGATTACGCCTCTTAGCTACACCATTAAGTTGTGGTGTCCTAGGAAGAGTCAACTGTGAAACAATTCTACATTCCTTCAGATAGTCATTGAACTCGATACCAAGATACTCTCCACATCTATCAGATCGAAGCATCTTTATCTTCTTGCCCAACTGATTCTCTACTTCATGCTTAAACTCTTTGAACTTTTCAAAAGTTTCTGATTTATGCTTGATTAAATAGAGATGACCATATCTACTATAATCATTAATAAACATAACGTAGTAGCGATTAACATCCCTTGTGGAAGATTTGAATGGTCGACATACATCAGTATGGATTAGGGCCAACAAATCTTCACCTCTTTCACAAGATCCAGTGAAAGGTAACTTAGTCATCTTGCCCAACAAACAAGACTCACATTCATCATCTGATTTTAGGTCAAACGATTCCAACACTCCATACTTTTGGAGTTAGGAGATGCATTTCTTGTTGATGTGCCCAAGACGAAAATTTCATAAGCATGCTTTCTCTAAACTATTAGAAGAATCAATGTTATAAACATTATTGCCTAATTCATTCACACAAACAATAGTTTCATACACATCATCACAAGGATAAGCTTTGAAAATAAATGCATCATTATGATAAACATAAATTATACCATCATTATTATCAAAACCATAATGAGATCCTTGTCTAAATAAAGCATGAAATGAAATAATGTTTCGAGCCATTTCTGGAGAATAGAAATAATTGTTTAAATCAATATTAAACACGATCTCATGAGTCCCAATCCTGGTGACAACCTACTTTCGCCGATTCCTCATGACCAGGTTTAACTTCCCACGCTCTATCTCTTCACTTTCATTTAGCCCCTACATGTCAGAACAAATGCCGAAACCACATCCCATATCAAGGACCCACGAATTTGAAATACAAGTGTTATTGATATGAATAGAGTATGTACCAGAATAGCTAGACACCTTTCCCTTAGCTTCAATCACTTCTTCGAGGTACATGAGGTAGCTTCTTCTCCAATGGCCCTTTTTCCCACAATGGAAGCACACGGCCTCTTTTGGATCTGTAACAGGAGGAGTATTAAATTTGGGCTTACCCTTTGACCCACTGGACTCTCCAATGTGGGCTGTCCCTTTCCACTTGGGTTGGGAATAGGCCTTTCTCTTCTTATCCTTCCCTTCTTGGATGATGAATGGGGCAGTTACAACACTATTGGAATGAGACTTCTTCATTCCCTCTTCAGCTGTTTGCAATAGATTATGAAGTTCAATCAACATGGTCTTAGTATTGTTCAAATGATAGGACAGGATGAATTGATGATAACTACTGGGCAAGGGTTTAGCACCATGTCAATGGCAAGCTACTTATCAAATTTTATTTTGAGCTTCTCCAATCTCTCTACGTGCCTCTGCATTTTCTGCACATGAGCACACACAGATACCCCATCTTTCAATTTTCATGTCATGAGGGCCTTGACGACTTAGCAGCACTCTTTTCTAGCTTTCTTGAGAAACATTTTAGACCATTCCTGGTTCATTTCATAGGGCCAGTAGTCTTCATAGGTGTTCTGCAACTCAAGTGCCATGGTTGCAATCATAATGTACGCAACCTTTGTTGCGTCGTCAATATGTTGGTTATGTTCAACCAATTCTTCAGGAGTAGCAGTTTCTTTATTGATCTTAGAAACTAGATTATCTAGAACGTACTCTTTGTTCTCATATCTCAATGGCATTTTCAAATCCCACAACCAGTTCATGTAGTTAGGACCAGTGAGCTTCTCTTTTGAAAGGATAGACAAGAGAGTGAAGTTGTGAGTGGTTAGAGGAGGAGGAGGAAGATTTCCGTTTCCGGACATCTAAAATAAGAAACAAGATTTTAGGTAGTTAATTCATTCCCTTAATATTTTAACCCAAATTAATATTCAAGGATAGGATCCAAAAATACAATTCTAATTAAGAAGAGGGATGACATAATCTAATTTTGAATTCTTTTTAGGTAGGTAAGGAATTTTACCTATTTCAATCTAATATGAAATTCCTAGATCATTTGAGATTCACTGAACTTTTCAAAGGGATGCCGAGGATCGCAATACGATGTGAATAGCCATGCAAACCCTCTTGACATGCTTGAGGTCCTTTATAGTCTCGTACTGACGTGCCAGAAAACCACACATGCTCCATCAACAGCCATAAATTTCGAGTATGTGTCATCATTTCTATTTTGTAGTCTCATATTAGTGTATCGGTTAACCACACACATTCCACTAATGACTCATAAGGAAATGATGTGCGTTTTCATGGTTAGCATATAATTTCACATTTTTCCTAAAGTAACTAGAGTGAGATTTTAGAATATTCTAGTACTTCATACATTATACTTTTAAAGTGATTATGTCCTATCAAACTCGTTCAACTAAGGACCCTCCACCACATAAAGGAGCAGTAGGTGAAAAGGACACTCATTCAACAGTCATTTTATAGGTCGTTGCTTTATACCCCTCTTATAGCATGGCTTTGTGCATGAGATCTGCTATTGATTCGACTGACTTTTCTCATACATATAGTAATTAAACGTTTTATATATTTATAGGGTGTATTTTAAAACCTTTTGAAAATACAAGGTTCAGATCATATTAATTCAATTAACCTTTATTAATTAATATTTAAATATGATTTAAGAATTATCTATTAATTATACTTTTAATTAATTATCTTAAATCTTATTAGGATAAATATATTATCTTATAATTTATAATTATCTTATTTATCTCCCTTTCATATTCAAATTAGGATTCTAAATTACCTACTTTCATTTTTAGATATCAATAATTTAAATATCAAAACTTTTAATTTTTTATTCTTTTTAGTTTCATTCATTGATTGTCATTCACTACTAGAAAAACAGCCTTTTACGACGCGCAATGTGTGACGTAAAACGCTCAGACGACGCGCAAATGCGTGTCAAGGAAGGCCCTGTCACAACGAGAGACGACACCCTTTTGCGCGTCGTCTGTTTACGACGCGCATTTACGACGCACATTTATGACACGCATTTACGACACGCATTTACGACACGCATTTACGACACGCATTTACGACACGCATTTACAACACGCAATGCGTATCAAGGAAGGCCCTGTCATAAAAGAAGACATCACACATTTTTGTGTCGTAATCTTATGACGCGCATTTAGGACACGCATTGCGTATCATTAAAGCCCCTGTCATAAATGAAGATGACACGCATTTGCGTGTCATAAACTTCAACAACCATTTACGATATGCATATACGACGTGCCTTTAATATACACATTTACGCATAATACAAAAATATATAAACAAATATATATATCAAAACAATCAATTTCATCCAATAACATCATGTCAAAAAATTGTAATACATCGGTATTAAGGGATCTAATTGTACATTGTTATTAAGAGGTTTTCCCTAACTATATAACCTAATACTACATTTCTATTAAGGGCACCTTCTTGTTTCAGATATCATGTCAAAAATAATCTTCCATATCATTGGTTTGCCACCGATTCCTTTCGTGAATAAACAGATGGAGTAACTCCGCCATTTTCAGTAGCACATGTCCATGGCCACTCATTGAGAAGCCTTCCCCTCACCAAGCTTCCAAATTACCTGCAAATCCAGTTGAAATAAATTTCCCAAACAAAAATAAATAAATAAATAAATTGGTCAATTACAAAAGCATAAATAAAAATACTTACAGTTCCAAGGGTTAGAAGACTTTTGTTAATGTAAGATCTTTCCTTTCTCCTCAATCCAGTTGATTCAGTTTTTGAGCTTTTTGTCCATTTCTTTTTCGATTCCACCACACCAAACACTACTTAAGTTTTTATAAAATGGAAAAGAAAAGTGAAGAGTCATACTCCAGAAATGGTATCTGTTGATGGTGTCCCAAGAAGATCGGTTATTAATTCCAACTGATGAACAACAAGGTCAGCAATAATAGATGTTGAATGTGGGAACACTGTAGATTTTGCCACTGGCAAGGTACATACATACATACACTTACTTTTTATTTTAAGAGAATATAATAATAATGATAAAGAGATGTGATGTGTATATCTGACAATCCTGTAATATTCACAAGACATCTGAATAATATGAAATAGTGTAATTTTCATAAAATAAAATTACAAACATGTACATGATGAAACCAGAAAAACACAAGAATGTATCCTTATAGCCCAAAGAACCTAGCGCCACCTCAGTGTGGGTTTTTTCTCAGATTTTTTTTCACTTTCCTTGTCATCTTGAGCCTCTGGATCCTTAAAAATGCTCATGCACTCCTCTTTCCTATACATAGTAATAAATGGTACCTGATAACAAATATGTTACAAGTTACACGGATCCCAAGAAGATTTGGTCCTTTTAAAATAGGGATTAGATTAAACACTTACATCTAATTTCTGGACATGCATAAATTCTAAAAACCGCATGATGTCATCCTTAACTATTACCAGGCCATGCCCTTCTTCGGTTGTTCTATCGCCTCCTCGGCCAAACAATACCACACCCGTTTGAAGTTGATGAAGAATCCAAGTACTCTCCTCTTCTATACTCATTTCATCTGTTGGTGGAGGACCAGTGCTTTCCTCAGATATCTACAAAGACAAAAGTTGAACAACAATTAATACATAATAGATGGTGAAATATATAGTATGTAAATGTGAATATTCTGACCTGGATTCTTTATGGAACATCTATCTCCCGAATGTACTCACCTTTTTCAGTTTTGTATTTATTAGAAAGAATGGTGGGTTCAAATTCATCTTCAAGCCTCCTTTCCTTCCCTTCACCACTATCATCATATCTACTGATTCGTTCTAGTCCCAACTTGCATTGCCTCAACAGCTCATCCACATCACCAAATATATCATGAGATTCATGTATTGCTCAAGGAACTCACAAGCACTGACAATAACAAGTTCATAAAATATAACCTGTAAAAAAAATATAGCAAGATATGATTGAAACATTGGTACAACTCTCTAACCACTTTTAAGTGTCCAGATAGTTATGTTTATATCCAGAACCTTCTGTGTTGTTTACAAAACAAAAAGGAGGGTAATTGTTTTACTTTTACCTTATCAAAACCCATTACCACAACCTTTTGGATATCTTCATCCGATACAACACTTACTGCTGCTGTGGCATCTGTATTTATCCCTCCCTGCCTAAAATACAAACTAACTTTTAAAATACCAACCTAATCTGCCTTACTTTTTTCGTTTACCCATAATACCGACTTCCTTCCATTTCTTTTCTCATAATAGCAACGTACTTACAGTTCTTTACACATTAAATAAATAGCAATATCAATTTTTTACATCACACATTGTAATAACTAATAATACCTTCTATCATTTCTTGCAATTGCTTCCTGAGTTGAAGGATGAACAGGGCTATTGCCACTTTCTAAGAGTCTTGTTTGTAGGGTTGAGTCAGGAGAAGCATTACTGGAGACTGTTTCTGTTTGGGTTGCACCTAATGTCCTTCCACGTCCAGGAAACCTACTATTTTCTCCTGCTGACTGGATAATTTTAAAAATAATAAATAAATAAAATTAGGAGATTAAAAATGCAGCATTGCTACAACACTCAGATTTGACTGCTTACTTGAGGAGCCACCTCTCTCCTTGGCATCCATGAAGACAAGTTTGCCCACATATTCCCAGAAAGCGTATCACTGGAAATTTTATAAATATATAAATATCAGAAATCAGATAGAAAACTGAGAATATAATAAATAAGGGGAAAAAAGATAGGGGACAAACTAGCTGGATGATGTGTTACGAGTAGTATGTGTAGGAATGCCTGTACATAAAATCCAAATTACTAATATGTAAAATATACACCTCAATAATAACAATACCATTTAATTCTTCAAAATAAAACTGTGATAACCCGAAATTTCTATTTGTACAAACCCTGCAGTCAAGCAATACAAATAATAGTCAAGTTCATTTCTGCTAATTTTTAGCCGGTTTAAAGTCCGTTTGGGTGTTTTTAATATAAATTCGTCAAACGAACAAATAAAAGGAAGTATCTTCTAGGAGTGATGCGTAACAAATAAACATTTCACACCATAACAAGGTGTTTACGGCCAAACTTTGGGAGTTTGGGCCGTAAACTCCTCTTGGCCGTGAACTCATGCTTAAGGCATGAGTTTACTCCTCATTTCCTCACTTCTCACTTCCAAGCTCAAAAACACCCACATTTCTCTCTCAAGTATCATAACATGTTCCTTCCAATCTTCCAAAAATGTAAGTGTTTCTTCTCTTGATTTGTTGTTATAACACTTCATCTAGTAGTTATACATGATTTCATCCATGAAATCTTGTCTTTTTCATAGATCTTCAAGTGTTCTTCAAAACACCAAGAACACCAAGAACACACACTAGTGTTCTTGGACCTTAAACACTCTTACAAGCTTCCTATAAGTAATTACACTCTTCCTATCTAGTTTTGTGATTAGATTACTTGTTAAACCATTGAAAAACACCAAGAATCCCCAAGAACACATGGGTTTACGACCAAGGAAATCTCCTTGGACCGTAAACACCATTAGGTGGTGCATATGTGCCACCATTACCTTCTAGGGCTTGTATATTGGACTAGAACCTTGCATGCATGAGCTAAGGACCTTAAACCACGAAATGGTAAGAGTTACCATGGGTTTACGACCGTAAACCCACTTGGACCGTAAACCCAAAACCGTAAACTCCATGGGAGTTGGTCCATGAACCGTAAACCCTAATAAGGGGGCCATTATGAGCCCTAGTCCCTTCTAAAGCCTTGAAACCAAGTCTAGATCACTTCTTTGAGGAGTAGAACACCTTAAACAATCAAAAGAAGCAAGCACACATGAGTTTACGGCCGTAAACTCATGGGGTTATGACCATGGGCCGTAAACTCTAAAAGTTGGTGCAAATTGTGCCACTATTACTTCCTAAGGCTTGGGCTTGATCATATGATGCTTAACCTTGACTTGTAAGACCCTAAAACACACAATGGTACTAATTACGATGAGTTTACGGCCGTAAACTAATGGGGTAAATGACCATAAACCGTAAACTCATGTGGTGTTACCATATGGGAAGTAAACTCCAATATGAGGCCATACTCTCTTTAGATGCAACCCCTTAATACTCCTAGCACTTGAATCAAAATGTTATCCATGTTTTAGGGTGTCCTTACTTGATTAATTAGTTGTTAAATGACTAATTAGATACATATATGTGTCATTACATGTTAAATAGGATTCGTGTGTGTGTTCAAGTCTTCACTTGACACTTAGCATCCTGTCCGGCACTTCCTTCCAAACCACTCACTACAGGTGAGTTCATACCCCTTAATCAACCTTTGAAATGATTTTAAATGCTTTTATGGGGGGGAATACAAGTTGAAATATTCTAGTTATTGCTTTAATCACATGTGATTAATGACTAGAGCAAACAGAAAGATTTACTACTACTTTTAAGCTACTATCAAAATTATGGTTTTCAAGCGTTTTAAAACCTTTTATTAAAGTTTTAGATACTAAAACTGTTTCCAAACTCTTTTAAACTTGCATTTTTTTCAAACTCATATCTACACTAATATATTTATATAAGTAAGACTTGAAGGACTTAGGACTGATAACTCACCTTATTTCTTGTTCCTTGTTTGGTTGTGGACTTAGGGTATCCTGTTATTTGTCCGAATGTCGTTGAACTCTTAGTTATATATCATATATATATATATATATATATATATATATATATATAGATATATATATATATATATATATATATATATATATATATATATATATATATATATATATATATATATATATATATATATATATGTGTGTGTGTTGGATATAAAAGCTTTCACTTCAGTTCAATGCCTCATGTAACAAAGGCATACCTACAACATTACTATTTAACTATAATATGTATAGTTAAGGGATTACTACTCGCTACTACTATTACAAAGATACATACAAGAGTTGGTACATTTACGAGTCACTACATGAGTACTACAGTGAGAAACAAAACATAATATATACTAGACAAGAGAACATACTATACACTATACAGAAACATACTATATACTAGTAAAGAGAAAACATCACTACACTATGACATACTATGCAACCTTTTGAATACTATAAACCGAATGTGACATACTACTTCTCGATACGACACTTCATCGTGGTATCACTTTGTAACCAGAGTCTCCTGGAGGGAGAGCGGGCATTATGTGTATAGATCTATATGGGACAGACACTCCCACATCCCGATTGCTAGCTACAGTCCCTGCCGATAAGGCCAAGGGGTGACAGAATGTTACCTCACTACATACGACCTGGAGGGTCATCAGTTATTCAGCCGTCGATCAGCATGGTTACATACGAGTTCACATTCGAACCTTTAATTAACCAATTAAGAATTAAAGGCAAAATAGACTCTCCGAGGCGTATTGTTTATTTAATACTACCTGGAGTCTACATTTTCATTACCTTAGACTCCCCGAGGTGTACTGTAAATTTAGTACTACCTGGAGTCTGTATTTTATCACTTTATGACCAGCAGTGTCACTGCTGAGGAAAAACATTATTTTCCCTTAATACACTTATTTTGTAATCACCTTTCATGAGTGAAGTCTAAAACTATATTTTCATACTGATAGTTTCACTAGGGAAAACTCTTACTATTACGAAAGAACAAACATACAAACAATCGGGTCTTGGTAGAAGACTACATTTTACTGGAAAATATAGGATTTTCTAGGGAGAATACTATTTACAAACATTTGAAATCAGTTACTACATTAAGTTGTTACAAACATTTTCATACAAGCAATAACACTAAATACTTATGAACTCACCAGCTTTATGCTGATAAACTCTTTCAAAATAACTTGTATTCTCAGGTCATCAGTAGACAGGTACCGATGAAGCTTTTGAGAAGATGGAGCACATACAAGACTCATCTTTTATTTTGATTATACTTTTGGGTGTCTTACAAACTATACAGAACACGCTTGTATTACAATTATTATATTAATGTAATGGATGTTGTTGCTTGTCTTTACTATTATGCATTGTTATGATACTGTACATGACGTCCTCCACCCCAGAACTTTCCGTCGTTCCGGTTTTGGGGTGTGACAAAAACTTTAAGTGACTAAAGTACAATACATATGAACCTCCGAGTTTCAAGTTGGTTTTGGAGCTATATACTACATAATGTGTATCTGTGTGTTTAAAGATATTGGTGTTTGTGTTCAAAGGCTATTCTATAGCTTAATTAGTGCTAAACTCGGTTGCTTTGTAAGCAGAGGATGTATGGAACACTACTAGAATTGAGTAGTTTTTTGAAATAATGAGGAAGAATTTTGAAAGTTCAATGTCTTGAAAAGAAAAGTGTACCTGCTCTGTGCCACCAGACACCAGAAGGGTTCCAGTATCATTCATTGCAAATGCTAAATACCCAAAACATATAAAAACAAGCAGTTAGTTTTTATTTTTACTATCTGCTCAATGATATGTTCACCTTTATAAATGTACATAATTCAAGACAAAATGAATACCTCCCCATTAGGTGTCTTATGAAGGGTTTCATCTTTAAATCAAACTTTAACTCTTTTATCTCCTTGCTTTTCTTGATTTACTACCAATTGTACTTCACGCTTCTTTATTGACTCCATATGCTCTCTCTGATATTTCAATCGTTCCTTCTAAAAAAGTAAGGGAGAAAACAACTCAAGTCTATAAATTAATAAACATAAACTTGAAAAAAAAACTAAAATACAAATACCTCGAAAGCATCTTTATAACTTTTTTTAGCATCGGACACTTGTTTCTTTGCTTCCAACCGTATTTTTTGAACTTCATCCTGATAAGCTTTTTTTCCCTCACATGTTCTACAGTGAGTGAAGTTCTTGATTTTCTTGATTTACTGCTGTTTTTTTATTTGATTCCAACCATATTACATTAAGGGAAAATTTAAAGTGAGTACCTTGGTTTGCTTCAAGAAGTTAGAGAAGAAATCAACAATAATTCAGATCCCATCAACATTTCTGCATTAAAAATTGTTATAAGACAATTTTACCCATGCATTCTTAGGGTTAGTAATAGTATGGTAAAGTTAGCAGCATTAATTTCTCGTATTCATCATTAGCCCAACTAGCGGTTGGCGCAATCTTCCAAGAACAGCTCCAGTGCCTACATCTCATTAGAATTTAGAACAGATGACATGTGTTAACTGTTAAAACTGAGAATTAGAAAAAGTGCAGTAACTATGAAATTACCTGATGGATTTTGGTAATAGTAAAGAAACAGGGTAAGTTGGACAAATGTCATAGTTTGCACTGATGTCACTGATTCTCCACGAATCATTAGACAATGTGAATGAAGCTTACTAATGGAGTATGTGATTCCATCCCAAGAACTGATTGAGCAACAGATGATGTAGGGAGTTCAGAAAAAATTGTCTTGAGAGCTATGCTTGCAATGTCTTGTTGATGTATGGCTTGACAAGGTTAGTAGTATTTCAATTGATCAATAGACACAAAATGACCATTTTGTCCTTACTTTTACATCAGTTATTATACTACTGATATGTTATTACAATTGAGGGCAAAATAGTCATTTTTTTACATGCATTTAGCCTCCAGTT